CTTCAGATCTCAGTCTCCTGAGTAGCTAAAATTACAGACTTGAGCCACTGGCACCCAGCAAAAGAGCAGAATTTTTTAAAATATAATTTGGTATTATTATTAAGTTGTTGTACAGAGAGGTTACCATTTCACAATTCAGTTACTGCATATATTTCTCTTTTGGACAATTTCACTCCACCCTCACTTTCTCCCAGTACCCCCCTCCTATCCCTGCCCCCAAGTTGCATAGTCCATGTTCCACATACTGTACACTGTAGTGTATACTTCCCTACCACCCAAGAAGCAGAAAAAGAACAAGAAATAAAAAGCACACAAACACCACCACCACCATCAAAAACAACGACATAAATAACCTATGTTTCCGTTTTCTGGAATTTGTTAAGGTAAATAGTATCTTGTATGTTCAGGAGAGTTACACCATTGGGTTCCTCCCCTACTGGTATCCTCCTTTTGTCTGTATGTGAATGCCTAGAGTCCTGTATAGGTTATTATCTCCATTTATACTTTAGATCTAGCTTCCACATATGAGAGAATATATTCACTGTCTCTTTGAGCTTGGCTTACCTCACTTAAGGTTTGTTAAGGGGCAGAATTTTAAAGTAAGTAGCATAAGATACTGTAGATGAATGTTGTGGAAAGTGATGCTCTATGCCCCAGGACTGTTCTCTGAGATTGGTCACGCATGTCCTGTGTCATGGATGGAGACATAAAGGATCAGCATACTATAGCAAGTTACCCAGATATAACAGCACTGAGACTTACACTGGTGTCCAGGTTCACACTCTATGATCTTTCTCCTCAGCCAGGGTATGACTGGGTAATGTATAAACACTGGGTGTTTGAGATACACAATGAAAGAAAATTACTATGGTTATTTAACTACCTTTATCCTTGCAGACAAATAATACAAAGTTCAGCTACTTCCTTTTCCCAACATAATACTTACGATAATAGTTAATTCCACTCTGTCATCACACTCAAAGCTCCAAGGAACACCCTAGTTTCTTAACTTCTGGGCCAGCTGCCAGAGATACAGAACAGTGCAAAAGAGCATCGGCAGTGGAGTCTCCCAGGGACAACCCCAAGCTCCAATCCTGGTTCCATCTTTTTTATAGTGTGGGCAGCAGGCATGCAGCCACAGCTGTGCAGGGCAAGAGCCCAGTGAACCTCAGCTTAGAGTCAACAGAGACTTTGCTTGACACAGTGACAAATACCTGTAGACCTAAGGTAGTCAGGAGGCTGAGGTAGAAGGGTGTCTTGGGCTCAGGGGTTTGAGGCCAGCCTGGGCGAAAGAGTGAGACCTTTGTCTCAAAAATACAGAATTTGATAAGGAATTAGACAGTGACTCAGTGCATGAAAAAAGGCTGCTTTGTGACATTTTAATGTTTCACTAAAATGAACCGAACTCGCTTGCAATCTGAGAAATTATTATTCTGCCACTTCTGTACTATATTGAAGAAATGGAAGTGGACTATGACATGTGAGGTGAATATCAGTGATCTCCACAGGATCTTTCATGGGGATTATCTCAAGCCAAACTTGTATCTTACCTTTTTCCTCTGTCCCTCCTCCTTGTCGTCTATGGAGCAATTTAAACTGCACCTTCCTTGTGTTATTAAAGCAAGCTATTCTCCTTTATTTACCTTGGTTGCATGTAATTTTTAAATTTTTTTTAGGCAGCTGATATGCCTGAATTACAAATTGGCATTGCTGTCTCCCCTTCTAGAATGTGATGGTTCATTGACATGTTCAGAAAGAAGCATTTGTTGGGGAATTCTTGTAGAACAGACCCCATGCTAACTGCAGGATGTAAATTATGAGGTGAAGACAGTTCCTTCCTCATAGAAAAGAACAACTGACAAGAGCCTGAGGTGGGGGAAATAGGAGTGAGTATGAGGGTGTGAATGTAAATTTCAGCACAGTTTAAAGAGTTTATATTCCTAGAAATAAAATGTGATATGAACACGGGAAATTACTTACTTTTTGAGTTATGTTTTCAAGATAACTTGGCAGAGGGAATGACACTTAAATTAAATGTTGTATGTTGAAATAAAATATTTTTAATTAACAATAAAGGCAAAGATTTTCTAGGTGGAAAAGCAACAGACAAGCCAAAGAAATGTGAAATTGGTGCTGTCTTAAGAGGCTAAGTAAAGGAAATCTGGCTTCAAAGTATATAGCATTGGATGAAAATGGAGGCCAAGGGACCATTGGTGAAAGCTACTTCAAGGGAGCGCACTTTATACAAGACTTGCCTTCTTTGGATTACCTAGCCCAATAGTGGAAAGACAGATACATTTTAAGATATATTTGAATGAATGACTGAAACACTGGATTAGCCCTAATACAACTTCCTGAAGTTCAGTCCACTGAGGAATGACCACTGTTTCATTGAGGTTAACGAGCAGGGTGCTTGGAAGACTGGGGGATTGAATAATCTGCCAGCCATCGATACCATTTAAACCAAAAGAGGCCTTTGTGGGGTTTTATCCTATGTCGTGGCTGTTATGAGCAATAACACAATTAACAATTGCATCCAGGGCTTTGTCTATGTGCTCCTGGGTAATTAATTACTAGCATGGTTGCTTGGATGGCATTTTAAGGAATGGACTTTTTGCTTGTTGTGTTCTGGGGGGATCTATGAGTGTATTTTAAGCAAAATAGCCTCATGGACAGATTTTGTTTTAGAAATATCTTTGGAATGATGTGGTACATGGGAATAGGTGGCAGGAAAGGAAACTGGTTAGATTGTTGCTCTTCAATTTGGTGTGTGGGGGGGTGAGGTGTGTGTGTGTGTGTGTGTGTGTGTGTGTGTGTGTGTGTGATTCTGTCTTTTATTAAAATGACCTTCTCCCTCACACCATAGTAAAAAACCATCTTTTATGAACAAATGGAAACAAAAACAAGTCAACATTATTGACTTTAAAATTTTTATGTATTGCAAACGTGATGTACAGAGGGGTTACACTTACATAAATTAGATAAAGAGTATATTTCCTCTTGAACAGTGTCACCCCTTCCTTTCTTCTTTCCCCATTCCGGTCCCATCCCCACCCCACAAGCTGTATAGTTTGTTTTCAACATAGTGTCTAGTGAGTATCACTGCTACATTTGTTCACCTTTTGTCACATAATATCCATGCCCCCCTATAGTCACCCAAAGACAGAAAAATATACAAGAAAAAAGGGAAAGCAAACAAAAATAGCAACAAAGAAAAAAACTTATATAGTTTCCATTTCCTGGAGTTCATTTTAATAAATATTGTTTTGTATGATGAGATATACATAGCTGTTTTGCTTATGTGATCCTCTCCTAAAAATATCCTCTTTAGCCTAGAGACCTGTATAAATTTATCATGTCCCAGTGTATTTTTTCTCTTTTACCATCCAGTGTGTTTACATGTAGATTTATAAGCACATTCTAGTTACTGTAAATGAGAGAAACCATGCAACCTATGTTTTTGAGGGGTCTGGCTTACTTCGTTTATATAATTTTTTCCAAGTCTTTCCATTTTTATGAATAGTCACAATATTATCCTTTCTGATGAATGAGTAGAATTCTATTGTGTTTGTATACCACATTTTTCTTGATCCGTTTGTCCACTGAAGGGCATATCTTGGCTATGGTTTACAATGCTTCAATGAACATGATGGTGCTAATAGCCTTAGTTAAATCCTCAAAGAAGCAATAACTCAAAAAAAATTGCTCAGAAGTAAGAATGGCCAATAGAAATGTTCAACATTTCTGACCATAAAAGAAATGCAAATCAAAACTACATTGAGATTCCATTTCACTCCAGTTAGAATGGCCATTATCAAGAAAACTAACAGTCACAAATGATGGAGGGGAACACTACAACACTGTTGGTAGGAATGTATCCTTATTCAGTCACTGTAAAGCAGTATGAAAGTTCATCAAAAGACTAAAGATAGTTTCCCTATGACCCAGCAATTCCACTCTTGAGCATCTATCCAATAAAACTCAACTTTATGTTTTATATAATCTAAATATCCATTACTAATGCTCTTCTCATGCCTTCCATTGTTTTTAATTTTTTTCAAATTTTCCATTTTATTTGTTCTTAATAATGTAACAGGGCCTGAAAATGAAAGTTGGGATTTGAAATATAACCAGTCCATTTTCTTCTTTACTTGGTACATTTTTTTGGAAAAGGCTAATACATGTATAATGCCAGTGACTGAAAAATAAAATAAAAAAATAGACTCTTACTAAAACACTTTGAAAAGTCTAAACTCTGTAAAATTAATATTTCCTAGTGTCTTATATACCCATTTTGAGAGACTAATAGCAACATTGCAATCAGTTGAAGCATAGGATATCTGTGATCAGAACACTGAAGCACAAGAGCTTGAGCAAGTGCCAGGGTCTTTACATAACCAAAATAAATATGTCTTGTTTCTACAACTAGACCTTGTTCTTTGCTCTCAACAAGAAGGAAAAAATTGTGCCTGTGGTTTTGTTTTGTTTTGTTTTAAACATTGGGGAAAATGCCGAGGTTTTTTTTATACATTTTAAAATAAAAATCATCATGATAGGATAAAACTTGAATTTCAAGCAATAGAAGCTATTGAATATAAAGAGGTTAAAATGGGGCAGAACAAATTTTTGATGGTACTGTGAGATTTTAGTACTTTATCTATTTTTGTGCTCATATAACATCATTCACATGCTATTATTTTACTCAGATCTTCAAAAGCATGCTATTATTTTACTATTGACCTTTTGTGGGGGTGTTCTAAGAATTCAATAATTTTTTATTTCTTGTAAATAAGCCTTATGTTAACTGGAATTTGATGACAGAAAAGACACATTGGAAAATGCTATGATGCCATCAATAAAATCCTCTCTGCCAGAGCTTCCTGAGGTCCCAGAGTCTGAAAAGCAAACTGAGCCTTTGAGATTAAAGTCAGTATGAAAGTAAAATATAAAATTCATTAGATAAAAACAAATTAAAATATAAGCCTCTTTTTTTCTTTCAGCTAAAAAAAAGAAGCCTAAACTTTTAAATAAATTTGATAAGACTATTAAACCTGCACTAGATGCTGCAGAAAAACTACGTAAAAGGGTATGTTGATGTTTTTGTTTTGTATAGAAATGTCTGATGGTTTTTCCATTAAGTATATGCAGGTATTCTGGTTTGGGATGATGATGATGATGATGATGATGAATGTAAAAGAAACAGTTTTTGAAATGATCTGATACTTAATAGAACATTCCATGGTTAGCCTTAATTTCTCCCCTTTTCTATTTGGGAAGAAACATTTAAAACAATTCTTATATCGTTTCTTACTTCTTCCTTTCTTATCCAAAGGAAAACAATTTTTTTGTTTCTTCAATTCCCTTTCAAAACTTTTCTTTACTGACTTGCCTATTCTTGTTAGTAGCTATTGGTATGAGTATGCCATGAATTTTTTTTTAAGATTGAGCTTATTAGTAAAGTCAGTGAAGTTGGTATGTAATTAAGTTGGTTGTGATTTAAAAACTCACCTAAAGATTTTTTTTGGTAAGGTCAAGATTAATACTGTGATGTAAAACGAACATCCCATTATTTATGTCCATCTATCAAAGTAATTGTTTGTGTACCATGATGCCAAGTTTTTAATGATGTAAAACTAAGTAGTAACTCAAAAAAAATATTGGATACCCAGCACATCAGCCCATAGCTTATAGCTAGAGGTACAACTTCCCTTCTAGACCACCTTATCACATTCCAGTTGTATGTATTTGGTCAAATCACTTGGCCATTTTGAGCTTTAGTTTCCTCATTTGAAAATGAGAATAATATTCTTCCTACCTTCTTTGTTTTTAGAAAAAATCAATATAAAGAAAAACACAAGCATCAGCACTGCCAAGTACCATATCAGTGGAAGCTTTTAATTTTATAGCACTTTAATGAGAAATAAAATGAAATAAGCCCAACACTCTTGGGATAGTTTTTATTAGATAAAATGGTAGTAGCTTTAACATTCTTCTCTCTTAGAGTTAACATGCACTCTCAATTTTCTGCGTGACTTTTTTTAACTTAATTTGAAGTATTATTTGTTCTGTTTTAGTTGTTAAGGTTTTGAAAATGGTCAATTGATATAATTAAAATCATTTTCCCCTAAATTTGTCCTATTTATGCAGCTGTTATGTCCCAAAATATAGTTAGTATACCTTTAATCAATCACAGGTTTATCTTTCATAGAAATTTTTTTTGTTTGCTGTGCACTTAAATTTTAAATTTAGACTTTCATTAGCTTTTCTGCAATATGCTTTTTAATCAAGTAGACATTAACTGCAAAAAAGGGGGTAGAAGGAGAATAAAAGCAAATGATGATAATAAAAACATGTGGGTTTAGAACTAAAATGAGACAATAATGGTCTAACCACTTCTCTGTTAAAAATACCAATACACAAAAAGACCTCTATAATGAGCATTAGATAAGGTTCTAGTGTCAAGCCTGTTTACAGTTTATCAAAATGTAGTAACTCAAAGAATGTTATAGCAAATTCATCGTGTAATACTTCTATATTTAACTGTACAAAATGATTTCAAGGTCTATCTTGTTTAATTTTATTAAGACAACACTTTATGAATTTGAACTTTGTAATAGAAAAAAAGCAACAATCTCCTTTTCTCACTTCGTTTTGTATCTTCCATTTTGTGTGCACTAGATTTTGTGTGTGAAAAATGCAGGCTGCCGATTGCACAGGTGGCTTCTGGGATAAAACAAAAATAAACAGCTTTAGAAAAGGATTTTTACATAGCAATAATGAATGGAAAACAAGGTCTCAGTCATTAGGGGCACCTAAGAGAGTGGGACATAAAAGGCTGGGGCCATCTATGGAGTATGCTCCAATCCTGCTCATTTGGAGAAATTATGATGTTTTCCTCAAAGAGCACTGCAAACCTATGAGAGTAAATAAAGAAGGAAGAAGTAGCCACATATGCAATTCTTGCTTCTGAAACAACTGGGACTTGTATTATTGACTAAACCATCAGGATAATTAAGTCATTTTAGGGTTGTTTTTACAGCTAGTCTTTTCAAAGGATGAAGCTTAGGATACTGGAATAGACTGTGAAATCATACCCCAGACAGAGCCAAACCAGCTTCATTCACATCTTAGTTCAAATTCTATACTATGCAAAAGCTTGGGGTCACTTTTTATCTATAGATTTATAAATCAGTTCATATTTTGATCATCTAATTTTTTAAAATATATTTATTGTGTAGAGCTCTTCTGTTCACTCCAAATGCTTTGACTTATATACTGAAGTATACCATTTACTTAGACTCAAAAGGAAAAAAAGGAGAGCAGGAAAAATGCAACAGAGCCAGAATGAGGTCATCACATGGAAGGTCACACTTGGGGATCTAAATTATGCTAATAATGAAGTCACATGTACTTCCTGACAAGTAAAACAAGAGAAGCAGAAGCAGACTAGAAGATTGGGTAGTGTTATCAGAATAGTTGTCTACACCAAATCCAGAGAGAAACACTCTGCTGTAAGGTCTTGGTAACCTGCAAAGGGTACACTGATTGATATAAGGGTACACTGATTGATGTACATCATCCTAACATCACAACAGTAAATTCTACCATATATCTGTGTGGCTCTGTTGTAAAATCATTTAGCAGTTGCCCATTGGCCTCATTCCAAAACAGTACAGCCCAGGCATACATCTTTCCAATGAACTGTCTTGGTCCAAGGGCAAAATAAAAACTATATTGAGGAACAGGTAACTTTGTGGCAATTCATCAGGAGCAATACTTTTTTATGTATGTAAGAATTGCTTAGTAGTGCAATGGGGGAGATATGGCCTAGCAATGTAAGACCCAGAAGTCAAACACTAGTACCACCAGAAAAGCTAAATAAATAAATAATAATAATAAAAAATAAGTGGGTAAGTAAATTAATGAATAAATAGCACATTGTTTTAGTAGCTACTAAGACCTTAAAGAAAGAAAATTCACCAGGCACCAGTGGCTCACGCCTATAATCCTAGTTACTCAAGAGGCAGAGATGTGAGGATCATGGTTCAAAGTCAGCCTGGGCAGGAAAGTCCATGAGACTCTTATCTCCAATAAACCATCAGAAAACCAGAAGTAGCACTGTGGCTAAAGTGGTACAGTGCTTGCTTTGAGCTGAAGAGCTGAAGGACAACACCCAGGCCCAGAGTCCAAGCCCCACTACCGACAAAAAAAAAAAAAAAAAGAAAATTCATTCAGATTCTCATTGTCCTTGATCTGGTGTGTGTTACCCTACTGTCCCTCACTGTGAGCAATGCCTGTGATAATCAAAACTTAAAAGAAGTAAGATTCCCTTTGGGTCCTTATTCTAGACTGTTCAGTCCGTGGTTCTTAGCTCCATTGCTTTGGAGCCTGTGGTGAAACAATGAGTTCATCTTAGAAGAGAGAGCATGGTGGAGAAGCTGCTTCTCTCATGGCAGCCAGGAAGCACAGACACAGAGGAAGGGGCCAGCATTCCAATCTACCTTTCATGGGCACACCCCCCATGACATGACAGCCTTCCACTAGAATCCAACTCCTAAAGATGTCACGCCTATCAACAGTACTATCTTTTGTACTACACCTTTAACATGAGTCTTTTTTTTTTTTTTTTGGTTAGTCCTGGGGCCTGAACTTGGCCTGGGCACTGTCCCTCAGCTCTTCACCTCAAGGCTTGCACTCTACCATTTGAGCTGCAGAACTACTTTCAGCTTTTTCTGCTTATGTGGTGCTGAGGAATCAAACCTAGGGCCTCATGCATGAGCCACCTTCCCAGCCCAATACATGAGTCTTTGGGAGACATTTGTGATCTAAGTTATAATACTGGGATCCAAGAGATATTTATTCCCCATTGTGGAGTGGTACATGGGTGGAACCAGCCTCCCACAACATTGATACGTTGCAAGTGCTCCATTTCTTCTCATGTAGCAGTGACGAGATCTCTAAAAGACACTTGGATTACCTTCTTAAGGGCCAACATGAGCTTTAAGAGGGGTCACCTGACACAGGCAGTTCTGTATCTCAGTAAGCCAAATGAGTCAAATCAACCCTGATGTTCCAGGTGCCATGGCCAAATGGCCCTCTTTGCTCTTGAGTTTATAACTCTTCCTTTACACAAATGTTTCTAACCTGTTTTGAGACATCTCATCATCTCTCAAAGGACCAAGACCTTTTCCTGTCAGCAGTATCCTCCCCACCTCCAATAAAACCATAGTATCTTCATTGAGAAAGCATATAGGAAATGTCTATGTCAAGGGTAAAATGCAATTAATGTTTATTTTTCAGTTGGTCGTGGGGCTTGAACTCTGTGCCTGAGTGCTGTCCCTCAGCTGTTCAGCTCAAGGCAAATGCTCTACCACTTGAGCTACCGCGCCACTTCCAGTTTTCTGAGTGTTTATTGGAGATAAGAGTTTCATGGACTTTCCTGCCTGGGTTGGCTTTGAACCTCGATACTCAGATCTCAGCCTCCTGAATAGCAAGGATAACAGGCGTGAGCCACCAGTGCCCAGCATAAAATGCAATTAAGAAGAATCATTTTGCATCATTACCAGGCATTTTTCTTTTAAAATTTAGAAACAGGGACTGGGAAGGTGGCTCAGTGGTAGAGCGCTTGCCTTGCATGCATGAGGCCTTGGGTTCAATTCCTCAGCACCACATAAGGAAAAAGAAAAAAAAAAGCTGGAAGTGGCGCTGTGGCTCAAGTGGTAGAGCACTAGCCTTGAGCTGAAGAGCTGAGGGACAGCACCCAGGCCCAGAGTTCAGGCCCCACGACTGGACCCAAAAAAAAGAAAATTAGAAACATTTATGAAATATATTCATTTCTAGATTTATATTTGTTCTCTAATGCAGCTTTTAGTAAAAAAAATATTAAGTAATTGTCTTTAAATTCAGAAATAAACTTGGTGACTTTTGGAAAACAAACTAAATAACGTGAGATTCATTTCCTTTTATTGTTTATGTAATTGTGCTTTCCTATCAGGGAAAAATCGAGGAAGCAGTGACTGCATTTGAAGAACTCGTACGCAAATACCCTCATAGTCCAAGAGCAAGATATGGAAAGGCACAGGTATCTATCACCAAACCCTTCCATTCACACTACTTTTCTGATGTCCATGTTTTCTGTGTCTGGATATTGTTCATTCTTTCCTATTTGTATTCTCTTTGGTCGTCTTCTAATTTCTACACGTAGTCATTTTCTTAGGTATAAACCCAAACAAGAATCAACATTTTGTATTCCTTTATGAGATAGTTAGATGTGGCCACCAAAGGAGCACAAGAAAAAGTTTCTCATCCCACTGCTGTGCAGATAGGCGGCCCAAAAGGTCATACAGAGCCACAAGGAAATATGTTTGGGTGGTCAGAAGCAGAAGCTAAGAGCAAGGAGAAAGTTTAGGACCGCTACTTTACTGGGACTTCCATAGGAAGGCAAAGAAGGACAGCTGAACAATTCAAGATTGGCTAGTTTGAGTAACTCTGCCAGTCTATATGCATGGTTTCTACTTGCTGAGAGCTGCTCTGAGATGACAGGGCAGTGGAGTCTTGAATCCTATGTTACTCCTCTGATAGAGGAGACCAAAGGCTTTCTCCCTGTTCTCTCTGTGATGAACTCCAGCCCCTCCCCAGCCAGAGGTTTCTAAGATGTCAAATATCACTCTTAACAGAAATTTTTAAATACTCATAACATAATAATATAATGATATCATGTTCTGGTGGAAGATACTTGCTAAATTGTATGTAGTGAGATGTATCAAGCCACTGTGGGCACTGGAGATCAGCCATCCACAATATATTTACAATCCCTCTGTCCTCATGGCATCCCCATTGCGAAGGGAAGGCATTACATTACATAACATAAATAACATTACAATAATATAATAATAACTAATATAACATGAATAACATAAATAACAAAAGTGTGACTGCTTGCTGGTGATAAGTGCTGAGAACAAAATAGAATGGAGCATAAGATTAAAGCACACTCTTGGATGTGAGAGATTGTTGACTTGGTGAATGGGTGACTGAGTGCTGACCAAGGAAGTGACATTTTAGCAACACCTTTCAAGTCTTATAAATAAATGCATATTTAAAATAATACTACATGCTATTAAAATGTTTTAGAGCATATTCATGCTCTACCGAAAAGTAAGTAATAGAATAAAGGCCATACTCATTACATTGTTTTGGTTATAGATGATGTAATTGAAAATGACAAGACAACTCTGGGTGTGGTAATATATTTTGTAATCCGAGCGCTTAGAAGGCTGGGACAGGAGGATTAAAAATTTGAGGTCAGTCTGTTTCATAGTGAGACCTTATCTCAAAAAAGTATAATTATAAGGGAAAGGAGGAGAGGAAGGAAGGAAGCAAGGAAGGAAGGAAGGAGGGAAGGAAGGAAGGAAAGAAGGAAGGAAGGAAGGAAGGAAGGAAGGAAGGAAGGAAGGAAGGAAGGAAGGATAAAATTGTAGATAATAAGGTAAAAAAATCACTCTCCATAGAGGAACTATGTGAATGAAATGTAACTGAGTTGTGGAAATTGCTGTGTAGGCAAAGGGAACAGTAAGCAAAGGCTGTTGTGCCAGGAAGCAATTCTGTGTAGAAAGCCAGACATTAAAAAGGACATGTTGCTGGGCTCCAGAGCTTCTGTAATCTAGCTACTCAGTAGGCTGAGTTCAGAGGATTGTGGTTTGAAGCTAGCCTGAGAAGGAAAGTCTGTGAGACTCTTATCTCCTAAACTACCAAGAAAGCAGGAAGTAGAGCTGTGGCTCAAGTGGTAGAGGACTAGGCTTAGGGAAGAAGCTTAGGGACAGCAGCCATTTCATTGTTTGTGCTTGAGAAGGCCTTTAGAAGATTTTATGAATGGTCTTCCCATCTGATTGTTCTTTATAGATTACTTTGGTTACAAAGTGAAGAACAGACTCTGGGAGCAAAAGCAGAATAGAAGGAAGATTATAATGTATACACATGGCCATGGTGTTGGGGCAAGTGTGCAGATGGTGTTGGAGGTACCAAGACTTCATGATGGATTGTTAGATTGGAAGGATATTGGAAGACTTCATGATGGATTGTTAGATTGGAAGGATTCGAGGGCAACTCCTGGTTTGATTTGACTAACTGAAGGAAAAGATGATACCTGTTACTGATTAAGAAATAAAATAGGTTTGGTGTGTAGTTGAAATCAAGAATTTGCCTTTATCTGACTTATGTAGCTGTAACCCCTTTGTGCATCACCTTTATAATAACAATTTAAAAAATGAAAAATAAATTTAAAAAAGAATTTGCTTTAACTGAACACTGGTGGCTCACTGTAATGCTAGCTACTCAAGAAGCAGAGTCCTAGAGAATGGGATTCAGAACCAGAATAGTCAGGCAGAATTCAGGCAGATTCGGGCAGAATTGTCTGAGAAATTCCATCTCCAAATAACTACCAAAACATTGAGAAAGAGGTGTAATTCAAAAAGCGTGGCTGGAAATGTGGCTCAAGTGGTAAAGCACCAGCCAAGCAAACAAGCTTGAACAAACGAGAGGCCCTGAGTTCAAGCCCTGGTAGCAAGGGGGAAAAAGTTTACTTTAAGTCTTGTTAACTTTGCAAGGCTTATTAGATATTTAAGTAAACATATCAATAAAAGGGAATTAATTTTTGTTAGATAAATTTTAATAAATCAACTTTGTGAAAAAAAACTAGTGCAAATTCTTCTTATCCTCAGTATAGATCAGATACACTACACAGCAACTCTACGATGATTGTAAATTCATTTGACCAATAATCCTTTAAGATTGAAAAACTGTATTGTTATTAAGAAAGAGAAGACTACCTACATTTCATTCCTGTTCACATGTGATGGGCTTTGTCAACTAGTAATAAGTCTTTTAATGAAGGAAAACATAATTATACAGAAAGTGCTTTGTGCAAATGTTAATTTTGTGATGGCAAAAATGTTTTGTTGCTTTTAGTTTTTTTTTCTTTCTCTATGATTTAATTGTGGGACAAAGTCTAAATAAATATGGTGCTTTTGAAGCACACTCATCACTGCATTCATACCCTTAATTCACAGGAGGAACTTAAGGCTTAAAGCCTCAAGCAATGTTTTTTATCTCTAAACTATTACACTACAGATGTTATTGATATCAACACTAATGTGGCATAAAGCAGAAGTTGGGCATGGAAAATTAAATTTTAATAGAGTAATGTAAAAGAAATGGTAAATTATTAGCAATTTAAAAATACAAACTCAACAGAAGATAAATTACATTCTGGGCATCATGGTACATGCCTGGAATCACAGCACTAATGAGATACAGGCAAGAGGGTTCTAAGTTTGAGTCTGAACCCTCAAACTGAGGGTTAGGCAAGTTCTAGGTCAGTCTGGACTATGGTTCCATGTCTAAAAAAATGAAACAGATTTTATAAGGAGCAATACATTGTTTTTATTCTCTACTAGTAAACAGTTTACCTTGGAAATCCCAACAAGTTTTAAAATTTCAGCAATATAAAATCAGAGACACATTAGTTTTTATTGCCATGTATAACACAGTATGCATATTATTCTTTGGATCACTGTGAAAATAAATCTGTTTTGAACAAGCTCCCTTAACATTGGGCACAAAAATCTTAAATTATCAACCTAAATCATTTGGTTATCTTTCACAAGTCATTAATGCCTCTGAAACAGAAAATAACACTTTTCCTGGGAAGTTTTGGTGAATTAATCTATCAACAATATTAATATCTTGTACAAATGCGCAATTACAATGCAGTGTTACCCACATGTGCAATGTTGGTTTTAAAAAGAAACAAAAACAAGAAAATAGTCTTTATAATTCTGATCCAAACAAGTCTGTGTCATCTTTATTCAAGAGATTTTTTTAAAGAATGATATGTCAGTTTAATGCTGTTGTTTTCACAATTCTACAAGTTGTAAAATGTTTATTCTTTCTTAGATAAGTTTTTTATTGTAAAAATGTACAGAGGGGTTACAGTTACATGAGCAAGGTAATGAGTATATTTCCTATCAAGCATTGTTGCCTCTTCCTTTGTTTTTCCCCTACCATCCCTTCCCTCCCACCTCCACAACTATACTGCCCCTTCTTCCCCTGCCCCTAAATTGTAAAGTTTGTTTTTCAGCATAGTGTCTTCTACATCTCATTGTTATAGTGGATCAACCTTATTTAAACATTTTGGTTTTCCCTTCTTCTTCCCAACTTAGACTGACATCAAATACAGTGAAAACAGGGGTTATACTATGGGGGAGGAACATACAAAGCAACAACAAAAAAAAATCACATGGTACATTTTAAATATGTTAGACACAGTAGCAAGAAAGAAAAAACTACTTGTGTCCCTATCTTGGGGTTAATTGTGCAACATCATCTTATCTGGTCATATGTACATAGCTTTTGATCTTTTCTGCTTGTCCCAGACATATACTAATTATTGCAAATAAGGGAAATCATGGGACCTATGTTTCTTTGGGCCTGCCTTACTTCACTTAATATAATTTTTTCCAAGTCTTTCCATTGCCTAACAAATGGGGCAATGTCATTCTTTCTGATGAAGGCATAGAATTCATATATATATATATATGAATATATATATATATGAATATATATAGCACATTTTCTTGATCCATTCACCTACTGAGGGGCATCTGGGTTGGTTCCATATCTTAGCTATGGCAAATAATGCTGCAATAAACAGAGTTGTGCTGGTAGCTTTAGTATGGTCTTGTTTGTGATCATTTGGGTAAAGGCCCAAAAGTGGGATTGCTGGGTCATAGGGGAGCTCTCTGTGGAGTCTTTTCAGGAACCTCCCTACTACTTTTCAAAGTGGTTGAAAAGTTTACACTCCCACCAACAATGCAGTAGGGTTCCCTTGTTGCCACATCCCCTCCAGCATCTGTTGTTATTAACGTTCTTGATTATAGCCATTCTAACTGGGGTGAGGTGGAATCTCAATGTTGTTTTGATTTGCTTTTCTTTTATGACTAGAGAGGTTGAGCATTTCTTCATGAGTCTATTTGGCCATTCTTATTTCCTCTCCAGAGAAGTTTCTCTTTAAGTCTTTAGCCCACTTATTTATTGGGCAGTTGTTTCTTTGAGGATTTGTTGTTGGGGAATTTAATTTTTTGAGTTCCAGGTATATTTTAGATATGAGACCCTTGTCCGTTGTATGGCTAGTGAAGATCTTCTCCCAATCCATGGGCTTTCTATTGATCTTGCTAGCTATGTCTTTTGCTATGCAGAAGCTCTGCAGCTTCATGCAATCCCATTTGTCCAACCTTTCTTTGATTTCTTGTGTTTCTGTGTGTCTTTTAAGAAAATTTTGGGCTGTGCCAAGGAAACCTAGGGCTTCTCCTATTCCTTCCTGTAGTGTTTTCAGGGTATCTGCTTTGACTCCGAGGTCATATTTATTCTTCACTAAATGAAAGGATCCTCGGGCTAAGGAGAAGGACAGATCATACAAACTACCTCTTTCTGTCTTTTCAGACTGAAAGGTAGTTTTTTTGTTGCTGTTGTTTGTTTTGGTTTTTGGTTTGTTGTTGCTATTACTGGGGCTTGAACTCAGGGTCTGAGTGCTGTCCCTTAGCTTTTGCCCTCAAGGTTGGCACCCTTTCACAGTTCCACTTCCACTTTTTGATGGTTAATTGGAGAGAAGAGCCTCACATAATTTCCTGTTGGGGCTGGTTTTGAACAACAATCCTCTGATCTCAGCCTCATGAGTAGCAAATATAACAGGCACGAGCCACTGGTGCCCAGCTCAGACTGAGTTTGAAGAATATATTCTTGTCTATTGTCTATCTATCGTCATGGCAAGCATTTATCCTTCCACAATCTTTGGAGAGACCTCAGTTCTAATCTGTTTTGTGGCTTGGTAGGCTCCAGATGGTGAAGGTATTCTTGATAGTTTCAGTAGGAGTTCCTACGCTTAGGTTGCTGTTTCTGTTGGATCATCAGTGTTTATGATCTGAGGAGTTAACTCATTATAGCCAGATTCACAAGAAGCTGATGGCTAGACAGAAAAGCTATGTATGAATATATAATGGAAGACCACACAAGTCACATGACCAGTATAAGTGATCAACATTTGAGCTCATCTCCTGGTAAATAAATCTATTCTGTGAGATATTTACAGGTATGAAAAGATAATTGAATAATTGGAGGCATATTTCCATCAAACGTGGGTAAATTACTTTTTTCTAATCTTAGAGATTATTGTCTGATACCTTTTTCTCTCTCAGTAATCTGCCCACTGATTGAATTCTAGTCTTCCTCATCTTGGGGCAACCAAGCGAACAAATTATTTTATGGACACAGTGTTTTCCTGAAGGTTTCTCAGAGATGTCTTATTTTATCTGCTGGTGTTAATTTTTACTGTTTTGTTCATTTGTGGGTGGCAGGAGGAAGATGCGTATCACTTGCTTACAAATCCTCAAATTCTGCAGTGATGCTTTAGTTGAGTTCTACAGACATCTGTAGCTATCTTAGCACATATGTTTTGTTAACAAATTAAACATTTTAAATAGGTGAACATGTTCATATATTCTGATATATATATATATATATATACATTTCAAGTATATATATTTGAAAAGCAAATATATATGTATATATATATACATATATATTCAAATATATATCCCTCCATGTCTCCAATCCCCTTTAGCAGCTGGCATATCTCTCTACCTTCATTTATAATTAAACTCCTTGAACCAGTTCCTCCTCTATCTTCCTACATTCTCTTGAAGCCGTTGCATAGAGTCATGTCCCTAAGCAGTCCTGTGAAAACTCATTGCCAGGCCATCACAGGCTCCACCCCTTCCAGTCCCCAGTTTCATCTAGTCCAACTTGACTTTTAATATACTTGAACTCTTCCTTTGAAACCTTTTTTTCACTTGCCCTCCTGAATACCATTGTTTTCTTTTCATTTTCTTCTTACCTCACTCCTCCATCCTTCTTGTTCATCTTTCCCTATTTTCCTGACATCAAGTAACAGTGAAACTTTGGAGTGTCAATTTTTAGACTTCTTTTCTCTGTACTCAACACCTTTTCCTACCTTTAAATAGGTGTATGTTCTGTGTATGTCCCTAATGATGACCTCATCCTGAACTCTAGACTCATTCATATGTTACACCTCTGAGCCAATATCTTCATTTGGACTTGATATGTCCTAAACTCTACTCCTGATTCATACTCTTAAACCTGTTTCTGTGCTATCTTCTTATTTCTGTGATATAATAGTTCCATCAAATGACCACGTACATAGGACACTGAATTCATCTATAACTTCTCTCTTCCTTTCTTCCTAGCCTGTGTTCAGTTTGCAACTCTGTTGTCTCTGACCTTCAAAGTATCTGTAATTTTCCCTTCCTTCCACCTCCATCACTGCTGTCATTGCCCTGGTCACAGCCATGGGGTGGCTGTCTTCTTGCTGCAGAATACTACTTGGGTTCTCTGCTATTACCCCATCCCCTCAACCTGTTATCACTGTTATTGCCAGAGTGACCCCTTTAACATAGAAGTGAGATCTTGTCAACTTCCCCCTCAATGTCTGTCCACCTCTCTGAATGTAGCAGAAATTTAGTAGCTTCTCAGGTCCTGAGTCACTCGATGGCCACCATCCAGCTCTCTTCCTCCCTGCACTGTGCTGCTCTTTGTTGATCTCTTTTCCCCCACATATCTCCTGACCTGTTTCCTCTTTCATGCCCTCTCCAATTTTCCTGGTTAAACTCACAACTGTCCTTCTGCTTCATCCAGTATTTCTCAGCCTGCTCTGTCTCTACCCATAGTACTTACTACCATCAGACACATGACATCCTTATTCTTCTTTTGTCATGCTGTCCTTTCCAAAATGTAAGTAAAAGGAGAATTAGGTTTCATCTGTTTTGTTTCATTTGTCTCCTACATGCACAGAGCAGTGTCCTCACCCTAGAGCTGTAAAAGGAATGAATGAACAAATGAATCAGTGAAAGAATGAGCCACAAAAGAAAGACTAGGGGTTACAGTTACATGCATAAAGCAATGAATACATTTCTTGTCGAGTGTTGTTACCCCCTCTCTTGTTCTCCTTCTATAATTCATACCATACAAGTCCTCATCAGCCCTTCTGTTGCTTTGCATTACACTTGCTTTTATGACATTCTTTCTCATTTGCAGCTTAGTAGCATACTTTGCTTTCTATTATTAAAACAATGTGATGTTTTGCTTTCTTAGTCTGTATCACTTGACAAAGATAAAAGTTTAATACGTCTTGAATTTCTTGCAAAACATGTCACACAAAGTTAAGTTTATGTGAGTATTTTGGGGAATTGCAAACATTGCTGCTTGTGGAACGTGAATCTCGTCTTGGGGTTTCCTCTAGTGTGAAGATGACCTAGCCGAGAAGAGGAGGAGCAATGACATTCTGCGCAGAGCCATCGAGACCTACCAAGAGGTGGCCAGCCTGCCCGATGTCCCCACTGACCTGGTGAAGCTGAGTTTGAAGCGGCGGTCAGAACGCCAGCAGTTTCTAGGTGGGGGACAGTAGGAGTAAACTCAGTAGGAAATAGCACACTTTTATCCTGAAGAGCCCCCAAACCCTGCATACTCAGAAACTAGGGAGGAAATCTGCATTTGATAACTAATTTCAGCAGTTTATCTGACTGTCTTAGACTGACAATTGTTAAAACTAAAATAAAAATCAAACCTCAATAATTAAAAAGATGCAATGAGAGATGGGAAGGTGGCTCAGTGGTAGAGCGCTTGCCTTGCATACATGAGGCCCTGGGTTCAATTCCTCAGCACCACATAAGCAGAAAAATCCAGAAGTGGCACCATGGCTCAAGTGGTAGATCACTAGCCTTATGCTGTAGAGCTGAGAGACAGAGTCCAGGCCCAGAATTCAGGCCCCATGACCAAAAAAATAAAATAAAGTTCAATAGATGCAGTGAGCATTTTACACCCTTGTGTACCAATTTAAAGATGAGTCAAATAGAATGCTCAGGGTTTGGAGAATTTGATAATAAATTAGTTGGTCTAGAATGAACACTTAGTGAATTACCACATTCTTTTCTAACTACCAAACTGATTCCTAGAATGTAAAACTATCAGTAGAATAATTTTAATTATTAGAAATTAAGATTAGTTAATAGAAATTAGAATATTAGAAATACCCAGCCTTCTAAAAGTTGTATCCATAAAATTTGAACCTGTATCAAATAAGATAAGACATTCATTTTTTCGACATAAAGAAATCTTGGAAACAGTTTGGGAAGAATGGCAGAAATCATATTCTTAACTGATCCCAGCTCCTAGTGTCAAAAGCAATATGAGACTAGCTGCTAACTCCATGTCAACCAGGCTTGTGATTCTTTTTCCCTACTGTGTGAAGGAGGAGAGAAGGCTCTGAGATATGTGTTACTGAGGAAATGGGTGCTCTGCTAACTGTACATTATATAAACGCATTCATAGTCCACTTAGGGGAGGCTTAGATGAGTCATAGGGCTTAACTAACCTTTTCTTTATGGATCCTGGTGCTTGAACTCGGAGCCAGGGCCCCATTTTACTAAAGGCCAGCACTCTACCACTTGAGCCACAGCTCCACTTCTGGCTTTTGTTGTTGTTGTTGGTCGTGGGGCCTAAACTCTGGGCCTGGACTTTGCCCCTCAGCTCTTCAGCTCAAGGCTAGCACTCTACCATTTGAGCCACAGCACCTCTTCCATCTTTTTCTGCTTATGTGGTGCTGAGGAATCGAACCCAGGACCTCATGCATGCAAGGCAAGCACTCTACCACTGAGATACCTTCCCAGCCCTGACTTCTGGCTGTTTTGATGGTTAATTGGATATAAGAGTCTCACAGACTTCCTGCCTGGGCTGAATTTGAACTGTGATCCTCATATCTGAGCCTCCTGAGTAGCAAAGATTACAAGCACAAACCACCAGTACACATTTCAACTAACCTTTAATCTGTTCTGAGCTACAGAATGAAGGGAGACCATGTCTTTTTGTAGATGATCAGACTGGGATAAGGAAGAGAGCCCAAGTGATAATGGAAAACTGTAAGAAATGGTCTGTTAGACTTACATTCATAAAGCTCAGTCTAGAGAAAGGCAAACACACAGCACAAAACTAGACAGGCGTGGCCACGCTGAGCTAAGTACATGCTGCGTTCAGTACAAGCTGGGTTCAGTCAGTGGCAGTTGCTGCTGTGGGTGCATTGTAACTAATGCCTCTTCTTCAGTGTAGTGCTGCTTACTACCAACTAGAGATTCTGCCTTTAAAGCATTAATGTTTTGTTTATCATGAATGTTGACATTAATTTTTTTAAATTTTTTTACAAATGAAACTACAAGTTTATTTGAAAATATAAAAGTTTAAAAAAAAACAGGCCTAGCCAAAACAACAAAAACACCAACCACACATAACTATTCCAGTTTATATTAACTCTGAACATCACACACTATTTACTAACCACTGAGTTGCATTTTTTTAATGTCAATTTTACGGTAGAGTTGAGTCAGGTGATAAGTTAGCAATCACAATGAGAGTATCTTAATGCTAAAATAAAATGCTGATCTCATTTGAGAAAATAGAACAGAGAGTATTTTCTCCTTGGAATGAGTAAAAAATACTGCTCGCCATCTGACATCTTATGAAGAATGGAGGTGTGTTGGGGGAAACAACTCTCAAATCCCATGACTTTGCATTAATTTTTAAAGGATATATTGAAATATTCAGCTCAGAATTGAAGACTGGGGCACCTCCTCTTAAGTTTTGTGCCAAGCACCTCACTTAGCACACCTTCTCCCCAACCTGGTAAGAAGACTGCATGTGAAGAAGTCACACCCTCCTCCACATCCCTCCTTCAGTACCTTAATATGTATATGTTCTTTGTGCTGAAGTGAGAATGGAGCAAGGTCACGTGAGCTCTAAGGCCGTAGGACAATTTTCATGGCAAAGGTCAAGGTGGTGAAATTGCCTTACAGTAGAACAGAGGTCTCAGGGGCAGAGGGGAAGGGACAGTGTGATGGCTCCAAGTGGGATTTTACCTGCACCTTCATTATGCTTAACAGGAGTCCAGAAGAAGCACCAGCTTAGTGTAGGTGCTCATATCTGTAATCTTGGCTATTCAGAAGGCTAAGAACTGAGGATCATGATTGAGATCCAGCCCAGGGCACAGAAGACTAAGAAACTCTTATCTCAAATTACCCACCAAAAAACTGAAAGTGGAGATGTGGCTCAAGTGGTAAAGTGCCAGCTTTGAGTGGAAAAAGCCAAGCAGAGCACAAATCTTTGAGTTCAAGACTTATTACTGGCATGTGTGGGTGGGCAGATGCGTGTATGCACGCGCGCACGCGCACACACACACACAAGCACATACACACACACACACACACACACACACACACAAGCACACAGAAGTGAAGTGTGAGTCTAGGTGAGCAGGTAGGAAAACAGCATGTCCAGAACAACAGTGTCAAATTTGTTAGTGAGGGAATGACCGGCTGAGGTACTCATCTCCAGGTGATGCGGGAATACAGTTGTCCAGCAATGGAGTACAGGGCATGGGACCAGTATGTGTGTGATGTTCTAAGCAGATGGCTTGTTACTGAAGCTGGCATCTGTATTTGCTCACTGATGGTCCTTTTATACTCTTGGTTAATGTTCACTCTAAATGAACATGAGTATTTTAATTGTTTTTTGTGTATGTATGGTCAATGTTATTTAGCACTTATTTTTTCTTAAACATTTTGGGTTTCCAGCTGTGGCAAAGAATAATGACAGGTGGCCTCTGCCATTTCCATCAGATTGCCTTTGGAATAAACATATCCTGCAGTGTATAGCACCCCATCATCCACTAGAGGGCCTCCTAGCACTGGATGATGTGTTCTTTGCTCCATGTCTAGGTCCGTACCAGAGATAAGTACACTTATCCTAGAAATGGTGTCTGGAGCAAAGTACTGTCCTGTGCATCTTTTTTTTTTTTAATGCTTTACACTAGGTGCTTGGCCCTTAAATCATCAGCAGTTTTAATTTCTCTACCCTCTACTATAATTTTAAACCTAACCAAAAATATTTCAGCAAATTATTTTTACAAAGAATTGGTAACAAACTTTCTTGAGGCATTTAGCCTAAGAAATAAATATTAATAGGAAATGAGCATGCTCTAATTAATTTTATATTGACTACTGATAAAAAATTGTTGGCATCATCATACCAACATCATGAATTCCACTAAATATTTCTTAGTAAGACATTGATAAAGTCAGGTAGGTGCTGGTTTTCATTTCGGTTGAATAGTCTGTAATGATCTGGGTTCTCAATACAAAGATGTGCATGATCTGTTGGTATTTTTTTTCTTCCCCCAAATCAGGTCACATGAGAGGTTCCTTGCTTACCCTGCAGAGATTAGTTCAACTTTTTCCCATGGATATCTCCTTAAAGAACGACCTTGGAGTGGGCTACCTCTTGATGGGGGACAATGCCAGTGCCAAGAAGGTGTATGAAGAGGTGAGCATCTATCTTCTACTGAATCAGAGTACCTTGGATATTGATCCATCTCCTACTCAATCTTAGCTTCTAAAGCTATTTGCAGATTACATGTAACACCCACCCAGTCTCTCATTCCCTTAAGTAGCATATCTGGTGTTATTATAATTCATAAGTTCAAAACTTAGTTTTTACAATGCATTTTTCTTATCAGAAGAGTTTAAATTTTAGTTAACATCAAAGCCTCCAACTATAATTGTGATTGTTTTCCCCTCAGACTTTTATCTTTACCAGCTCATGCACAATTGAGAGTATTGTTTGTGATAGGAAGAGGAACTCAAATGCTTGTGAACATAAAAAGAAACATGTAATCTGTCCCTTTGCAATAGAAGTCTGGAGGAAACCCAGGCACATGAACCTTTGGGGCTTGTGGAGGTTACTCACTCTTCAGAAGGGAATTGACTTTTCGATCTTCTGGCAAGAATACCTTTGAAGGGATTTCCACCTTACAATGGATGTTTTAATAGAGAACCACTAAGTCCCAAGCAACTATAAAACTAGAAAGCTTGTTTCTTTAGGTAATGAGGAAATTCATGTACAGAATAAGCAGGATGTGAAATGAATTTTTAGGCAGAAGAAAGCTAATGCCTCCGTGGGGGGAAAAGATGGACGTATTTCCTTGTTATTTTTTTAATTCAGGGCTGTAGATCAATGGTTTTCAAGCATCTGCTGTTCACATCAAAATACTACTACTCCGTGTTAGACAATATGATTTCTTCTGTCTGCAAAACACCACCAAGTGCAGTAGTTTCATCCTCTATCCAGAGACCTGGCCTGCTCACAGAGTGGCACTTGTCTCTCTTTATTGCTGCTGATGCCTAATTGAAAATCATTGAATTGTGAAGCAGTCGCTTCTTCACCCTTATCATCATTTTTATGTTATTCAAGAGAACAGAAATAAGACTTTTGCTTTTTATGACATCACTAATAGCTGCCTGGGTAGATTGACTACAGTGTTGAAAATGTGTAGTGTCCCTTAAGTCTGTCGCAAATCATAATTAATTCTATTTCATGTGAGACCTGGCATTTAATAAGGTCCACACATACTCGCTTCATCATGTAGTGTTTACTGAGAAACATCATGTGTCTTAGTAATGTGTCTCAGTGATGGAGGAGCTTGTGAATATAACAACTGTCAAACTCTAACAGACATAACTTCTATTCTACCACTCTCAAAGGCCACAAAGATGGAAGTATCTTTCCTTCCTACCCTCCCTCTCCTTGAGCACTCCCTCCCTCCCTCCCTCTTCCCTTCCTGCTTCCTTCTTTCCTTCCTTCCTTCCCTCCTTCCTTCCTATTCTTCCTTCCTTTTTTCTATTCTTCCCTCTCTTTGGTTCTTTCTTCCTTCCTTATCTTCTTTCTTTTTCTCGCTTCCTCCCTCCTTCCTTCCTCATAGAATTCTTTTTTATTTTTCTTCTCTCTTTTCCTTCCTTTCCCTCTCCCTTTCTGAAAAAAACTCAATAAAGGGCTGACTGAATGCCAAACACACATGAAATTAGGGTAGGATCCAAAAAAATGGCTATTATCTATAACACAATAAGGATTTATCCTTTCTCACCTTTAAAAATCCTTCCTTGAATATATTCATCCCCTTTGCCTGACACTAAATCTCAAATAAGTGAAGCAGTTTACTTTTCCATGTAAAATTAATTTTACCTCCATTGTTTATGCACTTGAAATCATAACCTCCTGTGATTGAGCATAATAGGATGCAAAACCTGTAAAATATGGCCATATTATACAACTGAATGGGTTTCTTTTTAAAGAAACTTTAATAAATTGAAAAGAAGTGTAAGATTTGCCCTTTTCTCCTCCTCTAACTAACTTCCTCACTAATGAACTGTGTTTAGTGGATATTCTCTCTCTCTCTCTATCTCTCTCTTTCTCTCTTCCCCTCTCGCTCTCTCTCTCCCTCTCCCCCTCCCTCTCTCTCTGTCTGCTGGTCCTAGGGCTTGAACTCTGAGTCTGAGCACTATCTCTGAACTTCTTTTGCTCAAGGCTAGTGGCCTACCACTTGAGCCACAGTCCTACTTTTGGCTTTTTTTGTGATTAATTAGAGATAAGAGTCTCATAGACTTTCCTACCTGGACTGGCTTCAAACCAGAGTCCTCAGATCTCAGCTCCTGAGTAGGTAGGATTACAGATTTGGCTCCTGATTGATTCTCTTTCTTCAGCTAAAGTTTATCCTGTTTTATCTTTTTCAACCATTGTTTTCAGACAACTAATATAGGAATTTATATTTTTCTTTTTTTTGATTTCTGGTTTTGAGTAAATTTGCAAACCAATAGTTCCTATTCTGGGTTTTGGCTGCTTCCACTTTCAAAAGTGACTGGCTTTAAACTGATGGTAAGTTGCTCACCTCTGCAGCTTTGGGAGATCATATGTCTCCCTTCCAGTTAGTGATGGTGCTAGCTACTCCAACCAGCCCTGCTCCAGAGCCAAACATTGATTCCTTCCATCCCTGGTATTTTAGGCTGATCCTTCACATGTAACACACAGTTATGAAGAAGCACACATACTGGCTGAGAAAATAGTTGATTAAATAAATGCCCAAGTTGCCTTCGTGGAGGTTACAGTTTGGTACTGTCACTGTTTTCTGTTCATTTACCTTCTCTCAGAATTTACCTCCTTGCTTTGTAAGCTGATCTACTATATGTAGGCTTTTTCTTCTCTCTCCTTCCTCAAGCCCCAAACTCAGGACACCCTCCCTTGGCTTCTGTGGGTCCTGCTATTAATAGCAGTATCTTTTTTAATCAATTTTATTATAAAGGTGATGTACAGAGGAGTTACAGTTACATAAGTAAGGTAATGAATACATTTCTAATCTTTGTGATTGTGTGCCATTCCAGAAGACGTATCCAAGCAAATACCTGCAATAGGTTGTTTGTGGATTTATATACTAGGTACCTATGTATAAGCACTAATATTATATCTACACTATAAAAAAGGATATACTTCAAGATAAGGCTTTAAGATGAAATGAAACAGTGCTTTAAATGTTTCATTTCACTGATAAAAAAAGTCTTTAACTGATTATAAATTACTCTTTTAGGAACATCTATGTACAGTGCTACTTATAGCAACTCTACCCTCTCTCCCTGTCTGTTTATCCATGGTGGATTATTATATTACAAGACCAAGAGTGAATGTTGGAAATTGAGATGGCATAGAACAATGTACACACTTGTGAGTGTGTGTATTGTATTACAGTGATACTTTGTGGGAATATTATTAAGCAAAATGAGGGGTTTCTGTACATAGGCACTGAGATACTGTAACAGCTAATCTAGGGATGGAGATTACTACTGAGTGGCTTCTGGGTGGGCAACAGATACAGTGTGGAAACACCGGCAAAGGGGTGATTGATTCAAGCCCTCAGCAGGATAGAACAGAGTTGTGGGAGATTTCATCATTCTATTCACAATGGCACACATCTTTAAACATGAATTGTTTATTCAGGGAACTTTCATTTAATGTTTCAGACTGTTGTGTTTTTGTTCTTTGTCAACAGTTGTAGGGTTTAAACTCAGGGGCTTCCACTTGTCAGTTAGGTGCTCTTCATGTGAGCTAAACCTCTAGCCCTTTTTGCTTTAGTTATTTTTTTTAATAGGATCTCACATTTATTCTCAGGCAATCCTAGACCATGATCTTCCTGTTTGTGCTTCCCACATAGCTGTGATGACAAGTAACTTGTTATTAGAGATGGGGTCTTCTGAACTTTTGGCTTGGGCTGCCCTACACACATGACCTTCCTGATCACTACTTCTCAAGTAGCTTAGATTACAGGCATGAACTATTGCACAAGGCCTCTAGACACTGTTGATGACAGAATGTTAAACCCTGAATAAGGAGTCTATTGTATATGTTTTATTAAAACATCCTTAATATATGTCTTGCAAGGACTTTATAAAAAATGTCAGCCATACTGGTTTGTTGTGGTTGTCTGTGTATATTTTATATACAAATATATTATTTGAATTTGCATATAAACATGTTTTATTTAAATATATTATTTGTATATAAAATATGCAAATAATATAAATATTCTTACAAAATATAATATAAAAATAAATATAGTCAAGTAAACAACTGGGTTATATTTTCATACTTCCCCATGTATATCAGTAAATATAGACAAAGATGTATAATCTGCACATATAAGAGCCATGTGCCTGTTTCAAACTAAGAATATTTCAGACAGAAGTAGTAGTGATGATAATGTCTTCTGCTCAGAAATTATCTTGTACAAGTTATCAATCTGTGTGTTTTCATGTGACTTCTGTCCTCAGCCTCTTCTGTTGCCTTGTGTTTGTAATTTAACATTGTTCTTTTTTGCTACTCCTGGCCCTCTTTCCCTTTTTGCCTCCTTTAACCTGTGTCTTGAATGCTTTGTCCCTTCTGGTGAACTTCTATTCAACCCTAAATGTCCTTTGGACCTTGCTCCCATCCACACTGAGTTAATTGTGAATGCATCTCCTTTGCTTGACATCCCCTGAGAAGACTATATCGAGGGCCTAGAAGAATTCAGTGTGCTTTGAAATGCCTAGTAATAATTGAACTGATTAATTACTTGAGATGATGGCCCTGTGTCTACAGTAGGCAGAAATGTCATTGTGTGGCTATCATAATTATAGTCCTCCCTGCTTAACTGTGCTGTCAGAAACATGATCTGCGTCCATCCCTTCGATTCTAGAGATGCACATTGAGCTTCTGCTCACTGTCTAACATGGGGCCAGTGCTGTGGATGACACAGAACACATAGAGCCTGTGCTTCCAGAGATCTCACTAGGAATCACAGGCTAGCTGTGCCCGTGTAGCTCAGCTTGCTCAGAGTTCCTAAGTCAAAAACATCTGAGCAACAGGATAAGCAAGGAGCAAATCTCTGGTTAAGCAATGAGTAAATCAGGTGAAGAAAACTGAACAAGGATAAAAAAGTAGGAGCTGGAGGAGTGCTGGGGTGAGGACTGTCTTAGGAGTGGGGAGGTAGTTAAGTGTAGCTTCACTGAAATGATGACCTCTGAGTAAGGACATTCTCATCCAGGTAGACATTTGGGTACTGGAGGGGAACAGAAGAGTACTATAGATGTGAAGGTCTTCACACGTGTGCCTTTGTCTTGCCATGAGCAGCTCAGAGACGGGTGAGCCTCACTGGCTACATGGGGCAGTGGAGGAGCCCTGACAGATGGGGGCCTTGGAGATGGTTCCAAGAACTTGGTTTTTTATTCTAAGTGAAATGTAACAGAGGAGGGACGAGATCTGACCGAGTACCCTCAGGTCTCCACATGAAGAACAGACCTCAAGAATGCAGAGGGTCTGCAGTTAGGAGGCTCTTAGAAGAAGATGGCTGGGGAGAGATGATGGAAATTTAAATCCCCTTTCAAGGTTGTATTAGATAAGAATAAATGAAGTACAGTGCATTCTCTATGGGCCTAGGTCCCTCTCTCTCTGCACTTTTCTCCTCATATGCAAGATCTCTGTGTGTCTTCCCCTTTGCTTCTCCAGCTCAAGACAAGAAGAGATGGGACATGCATCTTTGCTTGGCCCTTGTGTGTGCGTGCACACACACACACACACACACACACACACACACATACAGAGTCTAGTATGGATTATTTTCACTGAAGGTTGGTACTCTACTCTTGAGCCACAACTCCACTTTTGACTTTTTGGTGATTAATTGGAGATAAGAGTCTTACAGACTTTTTTTGTTCAGGCTGGCTTTGAACTACCACAATCCTTAGATATTAGCCTCCTGAATAGCAGAAGATAACAGGCTTGAGAAACTGGCACCTGGCTCTATCACACTTCATTTTTCACTTTGGGATCATACATGTGTTTATCTAAACAGCTCTGCAAGCTGAATGTTGTTATTTTGCTTTTTTTCCCTAATATTTAACTTAAAGGTATTTTGTATCTTTTTTTATAGAGAAATACTGATTTTAATTAGACAGAATAAGGTAAACTCTAGGCATTTGTTATCTTGGTTTTTTGTATCTTTAATACACAACAAATGCATATAATAATAAACAGTGATATAGTTTGTTTACAATATTTGCCTTACTTTTGTTGTAGAATATTTACACTTTTATACATCATGCTGTGCACTCAAGAAATTTTTTTAAATTTTTTTTTAAATTAACATATTAGAAGCACAACATTTACAGCAGCCTCAGTTTTCTTTTCCTTTTTTTTGGGGGGGGGTCCGGTCGTGGGGGCTGAACTCTGGGTCTGAGCGCTGTCCCTCAGCTCTTCAGCTCAAGGCTAGTGCTCTACCACTTAAGCCACAGCGCCACTTCTGGCTTTTTGCTTTTTGCTTATGTGGTGCCGAGGAATCAAACCCAGGGCCTCAGGCATGCAAGGCAAACACTCTACCACTGAGCCACCTTCCCAGCTCCACTCAAGAAATTTTTATCAAAAGAAATCTTAACCTAATATGAAAATACAAATTTCTCTTAACTAAGGTCAGATGTAGGACATACATGTAAAGCATTTACATGCATGTAAACTATAATAACTGTTCCGAGGTATCTTCAAACACAGCAAACTTGTAGCAATTATCTCTAATCACTAAAAAAAAGTCTATTGAAGTGCTAGCTGTTGTCAGATCTTTGGCTGCATTGCCAATGCAGTATTCCCACAGTCTGCCATCTCTCTCAGGTCTTTATTCTGGAACAACCCATTGTGGACATGTGAAAATGCGTTGAGTTGGGAGGACATAGGCCCATTTAACTTTAATGATTTCAATAAACAAAGTAGTCTGTGTTTTTATCCAGAATGTCATCCTCCAATCCATGAATAGAAAAACAAATTAAAATCTATTTTGGTGCTCAGGTCATTTCTACCTGTTTCTAGGTATCACAGTAGCTCTTTGTTTTTTCTGACTTCAGGTTCTGAATCTGACACCCAACGATGGTTTTGCTAAGGTGCATTATGGCTTCATCCTGAAGGCACAAAACAAGATCGCGGAGAGCATCCCCTACTTAAAGGTAGCTGTCCCTGCGCTTCCTCTCTTCTCCTGATTCACAGGACATGTGGACACCCTTGCTTTGGCCCTCAAGGCTTGTTGGCAGGCACTGCTGCGTGTCCATCATTGGACATTGCAGTGATGATGTTCCCAGGAGCCGTGGCCTAACTGTGTGTGTGAGTGCCATGAGCGCAGAGACAGGTTGGCAAAGATTTTATGAAGACACTTTGAAAATTAAAGTTGTTACAGCTTTAAACAATGACAAGAGTAGCCAGGCACTAGTAGCTCATGCCTGTAATCTTAGCTACTCAGGAGGCTGAGATCTGAGGATTGTGGTTCAAAACCAGCCCAACCAAGAAAGTCTATGAGAATTTATCTCCAATTAACCACTAAAAAAAAAAAAAAGTTGGAAGTGGAGCTGTGGTTCAAGTTGTAGAACATTAGACTTGAACAAAAAGGCTCAGGGCAGTGCCCAGGCCCTGAGTTCAAGCCCCAGGACAAGCACATTAAACAAAGGCAAAAGTAGACAAACAAGATTGACATAATATTGTAAAATATGGGCAGTGTGTCAAACATTTATTGTACAAGTGAATTATATGTGAAATCTGCCTTGAATAGGGCTCATGGCTGCCTATGAAAAGTAGGGTCACCAAGGCAGACTGGATAGGTCAAATCCCCAAATGCTGATCAGATTGTTCAAGCCAGTAAAATTAAAACATGTTAGTACTTTTTTTTTCTCCCCTTCTATGCCTAATTAAATCCTTATTAATTCACCAGATTTACTTGGGAGGGCGGGGGGAGGTTTGCTCAGGATTTTTCAACAGAACTGTCTGCCATGGCAGAACTACTTCATATCTGTATAATTTAATGTGGTAGCCATGAGTCATGTGACCCCTGAGTACCTCAAATGTGGTCATGTGACAGAAAAAGTAATTCCTAAATTTTATGCAACTTTCCAGGCAATGGGGGCTACTCAGGAGGCTGAGATTGAAAAGTTCCAGTTTGAAATTAACCTAGGAAGATAAATACATGAGACTTCTCTCCAATTAACTAATAAAAATCTGGAAGTAGACATATGGCTCAAGTAGTAGAGTGCCAGCCTTGAACCAAACAAGAGTATGAGGCTCTAAATTCAAGCCCTAGTTCTAGCACTAAATAAATAAAGTATGTGTGTGTATGTATATGTGTGTGTGTGTGTGTTTAATTAATTTTGACTTAAATAGTAATAACATGGTGGGTAACTGACTAGCTGCGAATGCGTGTGTGGGGCTTGAACTTTGGGCCTGGGCGCTGTCCCTCAGCTCTTCAGCTCAAGGCGAGCGCTCTACCACTTGAGCTACAGCACTACTTCCGGTTTTCTGGTGGTTTATTGGAGATAGGAGTCTCACGGTCTCTCCTGCCCGGGCTGGCTTTGAACCTCGATCCTCAGATCTCAGCCTCCTGAGTAGCTAGGATTACAGGCATGAGCCACCAGCGCCCGGCCGAATGCGTGTTTTTTTGAAAGCAATGTATTCTCCTTTTATGATTGTTTTCTTTTACATGACTTCAGTGAGAGATGTCCCAATAGCAACCCATTGATTGCAGATAGCGTGGGTGTTTTATTTAGATGCCACAGACTATTAAAAACTACTCTAATCGCTTGCTTTGAGAATCTGTACATTTTGTGTAATCATGCAGATTTCTAGTTTCTCTTGAACAGTTGTATCTGGATTTCAACCCTGGGACATGAAGTTGAGTGGTGGCACCCCTCACCATGGCTGTCGCCTGGCTTCTACAAACATTCATATTCTGTCCCAAAGCCCTGCAGAAATGTGGGTTTCTCTAACTGAAAGAATTGTCCTTACATTTCTTTTGATCTAGGAAGGCCTCCTGGTGCTTTCACAGCTTCACAAACCAAACCAGGGGGCAGGAAGTAGTGGAGGGAGCTTGTAGTTTTTTTTACCAAACAATAATGCTTGAGTGATATCAATCAGTCAGTCATCATGCCACTTGCTACTTTCTAACATTATGCAAATAAAATTTCCTCTTGGTGAAGGATAATTTCTTTCAAGTAAAGGGACATCAAAGATAAAGATTTGTAGAACTTTTGACATTTAAGACTTTTGTTTTTGCTCTTTTAAATTCATTTTAATGCTTTAATCCTCTCATCTCCCCCACTTCCTTCTTCCTTCTCTTTTTCCTCTTCTTCAGGCTCATTCTCTCTCTGTCTCTCTGTCGCTGTCTCTCTCTCTCTCTGTGTCTTTCTCTCTCATATAAACTCCTTTTTTGGAATATAAATCTCAATCTAGTGCCTGTGTAAGAGATGGAAAAAAATCAGCTGTTTCAGAATAGGAATTGTTTAATAAGAATTACATTCCTCATGATTCCAGTTGGCTTTAATCCTTCTGTAAGTTTTATAAAAAGCTTCATTAAAAACTCATGACACGTGTGTTTTGAGTAGAGAAAAATATGACTCGCAGTTGGGCTGCCATCATTTCAAACATGAGCAATTAAACATTTTGATTCAGGAATAAAAAGACTCTAGATGGCATATGGTCATATTTGGAGAGCAAAATAAATGTGAAAGATGCCCAGCTAGAGAAATTATTTGAAATACTGAAATATGATGGTTCCCACATTGAAAACACATAACATAATCGTGTTGGACTTTATGATTATTCAACTATTAATGACTGATAAATACATCGTGAATTTTAACTTCCTGACCTCCTCCTCTTGCTTTTGTACTGTAAAGATGACCAGTGACCTTTTTACTGTTTTTCTGGTACTTAGATTTTTCTATAATACTTTTTCATATGCAGTAAATCTATGTAAACTAAGAAATAAAATCTGCTATTTAATTTCTTTAAAAATACTAACACTGTCTTTTCTACAGGAAGGAATAGAATCTGGAGAACCTGGCACTGATGATGGGCGATTTTATTTCCACCTGGGGGATGCCATGCAGAGAGTCGGAAATAAAGAGGTACCCGTTTGTGACTTTCTGTTCTCTCTAACAAAGGATAGAGTCAGGATGGGACAGACATTATTTCTAGAGGAAAGTGAAAACTAAGCAAGCACGTTGACTATAAACTTCTGGAGGCTGTGATTTAAGTTTATGTAGCTGTAGGTCTATGTAGGTAAATGACTCTAGGTTGATCCTATAAAAGATTTCTGGGATTTAGCTTTTATCGTTCAAGCAATCAGCTAAGTAGTTCAAATATAGTCTTTAGTTTGTTGTATGCTGTGTGTATGTGTGTGTGTGTATGTATTGTGTGTTTGTATGTTTGTGTATGTCTGTGAGTATAGAATATCTTTGGGCTGGGAAGGTGGCTCAGTGGTAGAGTGCCTTGCATGCATGAGGCCCTGGGTTCGATTCCTCAGCACCATATAAGCAGAAAAAGCCAGAAATGGCGCTATGACTCGAGCACTAGTGCTAGAGCACTAGCCTTGAGCTAAAGAGCTGAGGAACAGTGCCCAGGCCCAGAGTTCAGGCCCATGACCGGCCAAAACAAACAAACAAAAAAAAATAGAATATCTTTAAAATTGTGAAGAATATTAGAATATCTTTAAAACTGTGAAACAGAGACAGGATTATAAAATAATTTAATTTTAAAGATTATTGAACAGTTTAGTTAGGTTAATTTTGTTTTGTTTTGGAATTCTTAACATAGTTATTTTTAGAATGAAGTCCATTGGATTCCTAAGCACACTAATCCTGATTGTTAATTATGTAATTATGTAACAGTTTGAAATATTTAATGCAGAGTTTCAGTTTAACTTTCATAGACAGGTACTGACACAAAAAATGTAAGTAAAACAAGTTACATATTTTCTTTGTGATTATTACTTTTTTCCTGAGTGCAGAAGTCTGCCTCTGGAAACATGCTATCTGATTGCTAGTCATGACATCATGTACTACAAATTTTAGACCCGTTCCCATCCACCTTTGTTTGTTTGGTTCTATTGGATGGTGAAGCTCACCTCCTCTTCCTGCACCATTGCTGGGGTTTGGGGCTGAGATGTCCTTAGAGTAAGAAGATAAAAAGTTCACATGAAACGCTGAATCTTTGAAACCATTATATTCTGTATGTGAGGTAAAGTGACATCTAAGGATGACACAGCTTCAGATTTCTTAATTTTTTTTCCTTTTTTGGTCGGCCGTGGGGCTTGAACTCTGGGCCTGGGAGCTGTCCCTGCGCTCTTCAGTTCAAGGCGAGCACTCTACCTCTTGAGCCACAGCACCACTTCCAAGATGTCGTAACTTTTGAAGATCATAACTCCATCTGGGGACCTGCAGGCTCCAGGAAGGAAGGGAGGTTGTGACAGAGTAATCATATGGTAGAATTGGGGGAAAAATGGGTGATAAACATTGAGATCACTGACACTATTTTCTTTATATATTTCTATTACCATATACTGTGTTCTGCCCTCCATCAGTCAGTTAAAATAGGATGAGATATTAGAAGTAAAGAGAAAGAAGAGAAAAGAATTTGCTGACTAGTGATCATCATTTCATTGTTCCTTTAGACGTAAAAAGAACACCCTTTTGAATGAGAGGGATAAGAAAGATTTTGCTGGATAAATGTTCATGTCTTGACTACTGTAAATATAATTTTCACTAATTAATTTATCTTTGAATATGTCAGCATACAGAGCAAAGGGAGATAAAAGCAGTCTATGATCTATCTCATATCATAGATGAAAACAGGCTTTATTTCAAGGACAAAGAATTCACTATTAAGCACTTGTTAGGGACTATGTATTTGAACCTAGAGGATTATTCTAGCAGCTTAAGTATCATTAATATGCAAAGAACAGCAAAGTTGAATTTTGAAAGTTCACAAAGACTGAAGCAGCCTATAGAAGCACCATTTTATAAAGGAGGAAGATGAACCATGATAACTTGTGAAAATTCAGCTTTGGCAGTTTCCATAACGTCCAAATCCACATTCTAGTTTCTTATCTAGTTTTGTTCTCGAAGTCGAGATTCTCATATGGACTACCAGCTTAGTGACACTGTGCAATGTCACAGGGACAATTCAGTCATCGTTCTCTAAGCTCTTTGCTGCTAGGTTCCGTCTTCATGTCAACTTACCTGGTTCAAGATTCAAGTCAACAGCAGCTGCTTCCTTGCCTTAGCCCCTATAGCCTGTGTTTTTGGCTCTTTGGCAGGCACCTCCTTCTCCTCCTGCTCAAAAGGGCTTTATTCTAGCCCAAGACATCCCTCCTATATCACAGCAGTTCTCTATGTTGTTTGGGTTTTCTTTCAATTGCTTCCCCCATTCCCACTCCCATGATTCTATCAATATGCTGGTCTTAAAAATGAATTGCTGATGACACAAAAATTAGTGAGCCATCTGACTTTTCCAAAACTTGTTCGTTATAATTAAGACCAACAGGTTTAGGAAATAAAGTCCTAAGTTCAAATTGAACAAAATTACAGTAGTCAAATTAACTTCAAAGGTGAATGCTACATTTTCTAAATTTAAAAAATAAAGTCAGGCACCAGTGGTTCACATCTGTAATCCTAGCTACTCAGGAGGCTGAGATCTAAGAATCACAGTTCAAAGCTGGGCAGGAAAGTCTGTGAGACTCTTACCTTCAATAAACCGCCAGACATCCTGATGTGGTACTGTGGCTCAAGTGGTAGAGCCCTAGCCTTGAGCTGAAGAGCTGAGGAACAGCGCCGAGGCCCAGAGTTCAAGTTCCACGAGGGACACAAAATGCATGCATACATACATACATACACACATACATACATAAACAGCCATTTTTGCACGTGCATATGTGTATGTGTGTATGTATGTGTGTGGGTGCTGCATGTATATATGCCCGTCCTGGGGCTTGAACTCAGGGTATGGGCTCTGTCTCTGAGCTATATTTGCTCAAGGCTAGCATTTGAGCCATAGTTCCACTTCTACATTTTTTGGCAGTCTCATAGCTTCAAACCAGGATTCTCAGACCTCAGTCTCATTGTTTTTTAAGATATAAAAGTAGGAGAGAGTTGAGCTAGTTACCGGGGGCCCTGGCTTCTAGTTCAGAAATTTTAAGCAAACCTCAGTTTTGACATTTGTAAGATGGAAGGTTGGGGCTGTTAGATCAAATGAGATCAGATATGTCAGGCTAGCAGTAAACTAGTGTCACTGAAACACCAGGTGACACTGTGATTGTCCTTCACATATGATAGTTTTCATATAGTTTACATATAAATGCTGAAAACATGCTAAAAGGTTTTACCTCTGCACTATTTCTAGAGTTTTATAAGGAAGATATTTGAATTGATATAAAATACTATTGACCAAAACATATTTTTCTAAATGGACATGGTGACATTAGCCTATGATACCTGCACTTGGGAGACTGAGGCAGGAGGATTGAGAGTTAAAGGTGAGCCTGGGCGATATTGTGAGATCCTGTCTCAAAAAAACAGAACCAAACCAAACCAAAAAAAACAGCAGTAACAACCAATCACTCTTCAAAAGCAATTACTAGACTGTGCTAATGAAGAGGATAATTGTTGGAGTCCCACACACAAAAATGCCCAGGCAGAAGACAAAGGGTGTGCACACAGGGTGGGTAGCATGTGGTAGGGTCCCCTGGGAGGATATGGCTGGGGGTTCTTGGAGAAGCCAGATGGAGCAGCTACCCTGCCGCCAGCTGTCCCTGAATGGGCTGGCCTTCAAGGAGGCCAGGTGTATTATGTTACAGCAGACTGAGGGCACAAATGCCATCTCTCATGGCAAGAAAAATAAGTAAGTTAAATAAATAAACACAACATTAGAAACAAAAGTTCCTTTTTAAACATTTAGCATGGGCTGTCACTATTCTTATTATCAACTCAGAACAATATTTCCTTTCTAGCTACTTAATTTAGTGGAGTGTTTATATTGTCACCCTGGAGTAAGCCTCCATAAATGTGAACATGGAAGGAAAGTACACATGGGGAGGTGTGATTCCCGATTTTAGCATTCTGATTCGGTAAATGCAAATGTTCTTGAAGAAATTATGAAAACCACAACCCATTCATTTTAAAAGGAGACATAAAAATAGATATTACAAAATGGAAGCTGGAATGTAAACATTGTTTCCTTTGTTGCCTGACATTATTTATCTATTCAGTGAATAAGTTCTAGACTGTGTTAGACATTTGGGGAACAGCAAAACAAATGGGGCATGCAGCCTGTAGCTACAGTGCCTGCAGCTGTAGAGTGAAAATGAAATGCAAATGTGCATGTATACCAACAGGTTACAATCGGAGACCCAATAAAATAGCAATCTTTATTCACTAGATTTCACTCGATTGGGGTACTTCACAGGCAAGCTCTTTATTTAAATATCTCAAAGTACAATCAGTCTCTGACTCAATATCTTTAAGCTTTTACTTCTCCCAGTCAGGGAGATGCCCTTCTTCCCTCCTTTTTTAGGCTTAAGTCTCATGATTATCATCACGTTTATCATTTTAGACCTAGATCTCACATTAAAATGAAAATATGCAATATTTATCATTTTAAGTTTTTATTCATTTATGATAATGTAAAGGCCATACACATTCACCAGAAGCCACACTTCAAATACTGAGCTTGGTCTTTTCCCCTGCTAGTCATAGGCAGTGTGGTACTTACTCTCTTGTAGGATCTGAGAGTGGCCTCCAGCCACAGCTCCCAGTTGGCCACTGGGTCACGTGGGAAATGATGTTTTGCTGTATACCCTGTGTTCTGTGGGTTCAGTGGATCAAATGCCTTTTGTTTTAATTTTAAAAATAATAACACCCCAAGATAAGGACTCAAATGGTTTTTCTTTCTTGCTATTGTTTCTAACATATTTATAAGATGATTTCTTTGTTGCTTTGATGTCCCTCACCCACGGTATAATCTCTGTTTTTACCGTATTTGATGTTGGTATAATTTGGGGAGGGGAAGGAAAAAAAAAACAAATTGTTTAAATAGGGATACAGATGGACCCATTGCAACAATGAGATGTACAAGACTTCGTGTTGAAAATGATCTTTACAACTCTGGGGTGGGGACTGAGGGGGTGGGGGGGAGGGGGGAAGAGACGGGAGGGGATGGGAAAGGGAAACAAAGGATGAGGCAGCAATTCTTGGTAAGAAACGTACCATTACCTTGCTCATGTAATTGTAACCCCTCTGTATAGTATTTTCACAATTAAAAAAAGAATAATAACAATGTTTCATTGAAAGAGTAGTGCAGAACATAATCTTTCTGTTCTTTCAGGCATATAAGTGGTACGAGCTTGGGCATAAGAGGGGACATTTTGCTTCTGTCTGGCAACGTTCTCTCTACAATGTGAATGGACTAAAAGCTCAGCCGTGGTGGACCCCCAAAGAAACGGGATACACTGAATTAGTAAAGGTGAGTGCCAACCACGCAACCACAGTGGGGTCAGGGTTTCCATTGACTAAACTACCATTTAAATGATGGAGGGAATTTGTCTGGAATTGGCTTCTCAAACCCTTCACCTTAGGATACTCTTACACGCTTCAACAAGATTCATCACCCAAGGAAGTTTGTGGTGTGTGTGTGTGTGTGTGTGTGTGTAAGTGTGTGTGTGGTTTATATTTATCCATGTCATCCTTAGAAAAGAAAACTGAAAGAAAATTTCATTTTTTTCTTTTTCTCAAATATTCTTTTTTATTTTAAAAATTATACTGTGTACTTTTATTAGTTTCTAAACTTTTAAACTTTTTTGTATATGTTTTATTGTAAAGATATTGTACAGAGGAGTTACAGTTACATGAGTAAGGTAATGAGTCCATTTCCCATCAAGCATTGTTACCACCTCCTTTGTTTTTCCCCTGCCATCCTTTTCCTCCCCAACTCCTTCCTACTCCCCTCCAAAGTTGTAAAGTTCATTTTCAACAGTGTCTTGTACATCTCATTGTTACAATGGGTCAACATGTATCCTTATTTCAGGATTTTGTTATTTCCCTTCCCCTCCCCAAATTAGAAAAATGTATATACAAGATGCAGGACACCAGAATCAAATACAGTGAAAACAGGGGTTATACCATGGGGAAAGAACATACAAAAGAAACAAAAAAAATCACATAGTACATTAAAAACAACAGCAAGAAAGATAAAACCTTGTGTCCCTATCTTGGGGTTCATTTCGCTTAGCATCATCTTATGAATGGATCAAGAAAATGTGGTAAGTAGATAGATAGATAGAGAGAGAGAGAGAGAGAGAGAGAGAGAGAGAGATGTGTGTATGTATGTATATATATATAATGGAATTTTATGCCTCCATTAGAAATAATGACACTGCCCCATTTGTTAAGAAATGGAAAGAGTTGGAAAAAATTATATTAAGTGAAGTAAGCCAGGCCCAAAGAAACATAGGTCCCATGGTTTCCCTTATCTGCAATAACTACTGTATGTCTAGGACAAGCAGAAAAGGTCAAAAGCTATGAAAATTTTATTTTTATATATGATTTGTTTAAAAATAAGTAACAATATTACATGTTAATATAAATAAATTCAAAATTATAATGTGAAGATTGAAATGTTATATCATTTTACAATTTTTTAAATCTACATTTGGGGGTCATTCTAGAATTTGAGCTCAGAGCCTTGTGCTTCCTAGGTTCAGTGCTTAACTGTTTGAGCCACCAATCTAGCTTCTTACTTTTGAATGAGGTGTGATTCTCCTACTCAGGCTTTTCAGGGAGTTGGAATGATAGATGTATACCACCACATCCAGCTTTTTATTGGTTAAGGTGGATTTTGTGAACTTTTGCCTAAGCTAGGCTTGAATTGTACTCCTCCTGATCTGTAGCTTCTGAATAGCAGGGATTATAGGTGTCAGCCACCAGCACCTAGCTACAAGTCTTTTTAATAATCTGTTGACATAGAAGACAGGAGAATTTTCTTGACTGCATCATAGATGCACCCATTGGAATAGTGACACTATACATCATGCAGACTTTGGAACATTCCACTGTGGGTATGAAAAGAGCAAAGACCTCCTTCACGTTCTAAGAAAGCAGTTTTGGGTATTCCAAACTCCCTTAAAGATTAAGGGAAGCTCCCCCCACCCCACCCCCATGTCCTAGGACCACATTTTCAGAACTGCTGCTTCCCTTGATACAGGAAGAGAAATATTTATATCTATAAATATTTTATATGGTAGCTGATGTGTAAATAAAGAAATTAAGTGACTTTAGTAACATAAAAATTAGAAAGTTTTATTTTGGTATATTAAATCTGACTTCTAATACTGTGGTTTTGCTAGGGGTATGGTATGGTCACATATTTACTTTTACTGTCATAAGCCTATTCTTAGACACACGTAAAATGCTATGAATCTTACAGGTTAGGTGGGCTTCTGTGTTCTGCCCTGGGAAGTCTGTCATTTAATGCATGGTTTGTAGAAAATAATGGAATTCTGGTTTTCCAAAGATTGATTTTACATGTATATGAGAGAAGCAGGCGGGGGAGGACAGGAATGACAACCTGTGATATTCTACAGTCTGCGTGATAGATGTGTGGGGACTTGTTACATTGTTCATTCTATCTTTCAATGTATTCTCGATTTTTTCCCAGAACCTTTTGGCAAATGAAATGTGTCCTTAAGACTTTCAAGACTTCACAGGTTAATTTGATCTAGTTGGATGAAAGAGAAATTTCAATGTGGTTTCAGTGCTCTGACATTAGCATAGGTTTTCTTAAGACCTTGCTTGTTTTATTATAAAAGCATATGTGATAGTAATCTTAATGCATTTTACAAAGACCACCACTGTGACTCAAAGGAGTTTATAGATGAGAAAGTTATATTATGGAAATGATGCATTAATTAATTTTAGATTAATTTCAGCCGCCTCTGTATCCAATAGTAGCAGATGCATCCTATACTTGGCCATACTGGAAATGGTACAGTAACATCTTTCTTGATCAATTACATTTACACTTAGTGCTCTCAGTGATGTTTTTCTTATAAAATCCCATCTTCCTCAGAGTGGTCCACTGAGCTCTTTTGATTCTCTGTCCCTTCCTTTTTTTTTTCTTTTTTTAAAGAAAATTTATTGTCAAGGTGATGTACAGAGGGGTCACAATTACATACATACATATACGTCCCTCGTTTTTCTCCCACTTTCCCAAATCCCCCACGCACTACCCCCCACTGCCAGTTGTAAAATTCTTTTCCTGGTCAACTTTTAGTTTATTTTTTGTTATAGTTTTTAGGCTGCTTTCAATTTCAAATGATAGAAATGAGATTCAAATCTGGCTTCAACATGAACTTGTTTGATTCACGTTACTGGAAGCCAGCAGTAGAACAGGCTTCGGGAGCAGCATAGTAAGGGAATGATTTTCTTGGCCCCACACTTCCTCTTTGCTCAGCTGTCTCTTTATGCAAACCTTATTGCAAGATGGCTCCCAGTAACTATGGGACTGGAGAGTTAGAAAGAGTGTTGAGCTACCATATCAGCCTTAAATGGCCTTCTACTACGACTTTGTGGGGAAGGGAGTGGGAAGAGATAATATGGAGAAAATGAGGGAGGGGAGGAGGGAGGAGTTGGGGAGATGGGCAGGAAAGGGATGTTAGGGGAAAAACAAAGGAGGGGGTAACAATGCTTCATAGGAAATGTACTCATTACCTTACTTATGTAACTGTAACCCTCCTGGTCATCACCGTTATAATAAATATGCAAAAATAAAATAAAACACACAGTTGATTTCCTTTTAATGGTTTTGTTGTAAATCCCCAATGTACAGAAGTCAAAGCACATTTGTTAAAAGTTTTTAAATGGCCTTCTACAAACCTCCTAGGAGATGTTTTCTTTTTTACAATAGGCTGTCACAGTTACAGAGAGCCTGAGACACCAAGTAGTTGACAACAGTCTTCCAGAAAAAGTGTCCCATCCCATCCACCTGGGAATGGGAGCCAATATAAGCCACATTTCCACTCTGCATCAGTTATTGGCAAGGGGTTATGAGATGATCTTCAAGCTAACAAATCCTCCCCTGGGAGTCAGTAAAAGGTCAGCTTCCTTTGAACTGAATACCTGATCTGGAAGGAGTTGGACATCTAAACAAACTCAGGGTTCTGTTGTACAGGGAGTCTACAGTGCCTAGGTCCCTTACTGTGTGTTCATGTAAACTTGGACTCCAATAAATTTTATCTACTTCATGTTTTCCCTTTTTTGTTCATCTTCTAAGGAAATTGGTCCAGTGTGCTACAGCTGCTGAGAGAAGTTTTACTAAAGCTCTGCTACCCAAATTCACACTCTTTGTGTTTTATCTCGTTATATAGAAACATTAACATTCACTGTGAACATTTATTGACCTTGTAAAATCCTGATTAATACTCTTTTCCAGCTTTATAGTTTGACCAGTGTCTTAGTCCATTTTAGGTGCTATAACAAGATGCCACAAACTGATTAGCTTATGAGCAACAGAAAAAAATACCTATATAAACAAATGTGTATATATATATATATATATATATATATATTTCTTAGATTCTGAAGTCTGGAAGTCCCAGCTCAGGCTGCCAGGGGATTCAGTGTCTGGTGAGGGTTTCTTCCTCGCCAGATGAGGCTTATTCATTGGCTCTGCATAGTGGAAGAGGAAAGGCAGCTCTCTACATACTATTGAAATTAGACTAACATTAAACTCAACTAGGTTGTTTTGATTAAAGTCCTAATGCCCACTTGGATAGCCACAACTTCAAAAAAAAAAGACAAGCATTAGCAAGTGTTGTATGCATTTGGAGACACTGAAACCTTCACACATTACTGGGGGCTATGTATAGCCACTTTGGAAAACAGTATAGCATTTCCTCAAATAGGTAAAATAAAATTACTGCATGGTCCTCTAAGAGTATATATCCAGAAGAAGTGGAAACATATGTTCACACAAAACTGTGCACATAAACATTCACAATACCATTATTCATAGCAACAGAAATGCAGAAAGCCATGCAAAATATATCCATCCCAATAATAAATAAGTAAATACACAAAAAAGTAGTAGATCCACACGATGACACTTAATAGAATGAAGTATTGATACCTGGTACAGGATGAATGCATCTGAAACACATAATGCTAAGTAAACGTTACGTGCATGATTGTGTTCCTATGAGCTGCCCTAATCAGGCCAATCCATGAAACAGAGGCATATTCCTGTTTTCCAGACTTAGAGTTGTGGCCCTTCGGAGGTAAAGGGTGTGACTTAGAAGTGTGAACCTTACTAGGTAAAGGGTGTGATGAAAATGTTTTAAAATAAGAATGTTGATGATTACACAACTGTGTGAATATATTAAAGAACACTGAATTACCAAAATATATCTTAATAAGTCTATTAAACAATGGGAAACTATGATAAAATATGGTGGTTGAGGTTTATGTAGA